TTTACGATTCCCAAAATCTAGAGCCCCATTTGCATACAGGGCTGGATAATTAACGCCCCTACACACCACCACCACACTCTCCAGCTACTTTCAACCAATGACCAGCAGGAGTTGGCTTATAGATTCAGGACCAATCTACCTAGTAGATTAAGGGCCAGTTGCCCACATCAGTAACTTGCTAAATAAGCTCTCTTCAGGCTTTTCTTCCGCCTTCATTTTCCCACTCCCTTTTCACATCCCAAATAAATTACTTACACTTGAATAATTAACTCAAGGGGTGATTCTGGGTAAAGCCAAATTCAACAAGACAAAACAGCTGGCTTAGAATCATGACTCTACCACTTACAAAGTTAGGCCACAGTCATTTCTGTCAGTCACAGTTTCTCTATTTCTAAGTGGAAATTTTTAATATCTACTTTATGGGTTTAAAATAGAATATTTATGAAGAACTGAGTATTGTGTCTGGCATGTAGCATATACCCAACAAGTTTAGATTCTCTCTCTTCAGTTAAAGGCTGTATCATTTAGATTTCCTTTGTGGCAGACCACACCCAACTCAGTAGCCTAAAACAATTTTACTTAGCTTACAATTCCAAGTCAGCAATTTGAGCTGGAATAAATTGGATAATCTTTCTCCTGGCCTGAACTGGGCTCGCTCATGCAAACATGAGCAACAAGCGGTCAGCTGGATGATTATTCATCTGAGGGCCAACAAACTTTTTTGGGGTGACCACTGACATCTCCTATCAGCTAAAAGGCTAAAGTAGGCTTCATTTGGCAACTCAAGTTCTCAAGAGCAGCAGGAGGAAGACACAGGTATTTTGCTAGTCTCCTTGTGTCATTTCTACTACTGTCACTGTGGCCAGAACAAATCAAATAGCCTGGCTCAGATGTAAAGAGAAGAGAAACACCAGTCCTTAATGAGAGGAGCTGTCGGGTCATATTTTGAGATTGTGAGTACAGAAAGTGCAGGGATTTGTGGCCATTTTTGCCGATTACCACAGAGAATGTGTCGTTTATACAACTGAGGGCTTCCCTGCAATATCTGGGATGGCTGAAAATTGCTGATTGGATCTCCCAGTGGTTTGTGTCTTGCTAGTTCATTGGAGGCCAGATGGGCTCCTATTATCCACAAGGGAATCCCTCAACATTACTTGGCAGTTTAGGAAACAAAATATAAATATACTTTTTCTCTCTGGTTAAAGTTAGAGATTTTTGTTGGAAGACAATAAATATAAAAGATTTTTACAACCCAGATATACATTTGCTACAGTAAATTGCTCAGATGTGTTATCATTTTTTCAGCCATCATTGGTAGAGTCATAATACACTCTGAAATGGATTTCTGTGTTTCTGAGTGCAGGTATTCACACAAACACATTTTCCAAGAGTCTGTCTCAAGATGAAACTATCATCAGTTGGGGGAGCCATTTTCAGCTGAGCAGCAGCTTCCTTTTTCCAAATGCCAATTAATTTCAAGCCCAACGATGACATAAGGAAGCTAGCAATAATTGCTGCTTCCCCACGAGAGCAAATCACCTTTCTAAGTCAATTCCAGGTCATAATTACTTCTTAATTTCAGTAATAATTACCTTTATAAAATTCCTTATAAAGCCCTTTCTAAAACTCTGCTTTATAAAATCTTTTCTAATAAAAAAAGAAAATATTATAAATAACTTCAGGGGGGGAAACAGTGCCCTGAATTTGATAAATTACAGGCAGCATTCCTGGCCACTTAACAAAATTTGGTCTGCTCAATAAAGCCCAGAGAGTCTTGGGGCAGAGCCATGAGATTAAAAGAATTCCCATGCTACTGTAATTACATTTATTTCCTATTAAACTACAACATACATTAGATATCACATTAGACTCTTTGTACAATTAGGATAAACCAATAAGAGTAAAGATCCTGCCTTTCAGGAAGTTGCTATCCAGGAGAAGCCCCGGGATGGTGGTGATGGCACTCACGTCTCTCCACCCCACACACAGGGGGTACCCAAAAGCAGCTTGGGCATGATGCATAAACAGGTTCTAAGAGGTGTGACCAGGCCCTCCACATACAACAATGGCCAAGGTAAATTATCTGAAGTGTAACTCTCCTGTGCACACAGTCAGAAGAACAACTCAGTGCCCTGCTAATCATACCACAGCTCTTGCTGGGCCACCTCTCCAAGCCAGGCTGAAGTTTTTGTTGCACACTCTGAATATAGAGTCCACCTATGTGACTCCTCTGCAGGAGCAAAGGGGATGTTCTAGGCATAAGAGAATTCTGGGTTGTGCTAACAGAAATCCAGAGACAGACTGACTGTACAGTGAGATTGGATCACCATAAAACGAGAGGACAATGAGACTCATCCAAACCAGCATATTCTCAGCCATACCAGGACAAATTTTAATGAGTTTGAGTAACCTCCATATGGAAGCCCTAAGAATTTACCTGATGATACAGGAGGACGCTTTTCACAGACTATGATCTAACCAATGATAAAGCACAGCAACTGGCATATTATGGGGCCTCTTTAGCACCCAGCAGGGATACCACAAGCTAAACACAGTAGCACTGCTCTCCACTTCCAGTAAGTGACTATAGCTCACATACTGTCCTTATAACAGGGAAAAATCAAGAAAACCCTTGGAAATTTCTTTACATTTCTAGCTATTGATCCTCTATGCATGAGAATCACTATTAGAAGAAAGGATTTATATTCCTATCTAATGCAAAAGCTTCAGGAGGCTATATTTATGGTTTGGAAGAAGGGCTCAAAATCCTCTGAGAATTCTACCCTTCATGAGATCTAGTAGGGCCTTTCCCAAACAGTAATACACCGCTTAATGACAGGGATAAATTCTGAGAAATGTAACAATTTCATCATTGCGCAAACATCATAAAACATGCTTACACAAACTGAGCAGGCTATGGCATCACTGGGTGATATAATCTTATGGGTGATATAATCTATAGCCATTGCATGTGCCCATCCATCATCAAACTGTCGCTGTGACCGTGGATGACTGTGTTTTAGCCTCTGGTTCATGTGTGACTCCTACCTCTTTCCTCCTTCCTCATTGCATCCTCTGGGGCTCAGCTCTTAACAACAGGCACATAAATAGCCCCATTAAGTATTCCCATAGCCTACCCTCAGCCTGGAGCACTGACCTCAGGGGGTTCTCTCAACAGAGAAGGCTACACTGTGCTTTTATACCCTGCTCACTCTCCGGACAAGAGAAGGATTAGAATTTTAGTCCTCCTTTTATTATTATAGAATTTCTTTTCAGCTAGACACTTCATGGAACGAAAAAAACAGTCTCTCCTGTCCTAAGTGAATGCTTACACTGCAGATGATGGTTGGCAGATCCCACAGAGGCTCATAAGTATTAAAAGTATTAGAGTTTCATCTCATCTGAAAGGAGGGCTGACTCACACTGTCTGTTTGCTGAGTTTCTTTTCTATTGTGAAGTTGCCAAATGTTACCATTTAAAAGCAGTTTTGCTGACCTGACGCAAATGACTACGAAATCTTTTCCGCTCACACTCACTTCATCACTGCCAACCACCAAGAATTCTGCTCCTGCCACTCACATTCACACCTGCCACTGGAGACAATTCATTCTGCAGCCCTTCTCTCTCCTGCTCTCCGACATCCAGTCTCTTTTAAATTCTTAAGGAACAGCCCCAGCTACTGTGTACTTCCCCACCCCAGCCCCAGCAGTTACTAACCTCTTGACCTCATGCCAGACCTACAGCAATGGCCTCTCTACCCAATCCTCCTTGGTCTCACTCGCCCTAACCTGTCCCACCCATCCATCAGGTTCATCTTAAAAGTGTGTTTCCCATGTCGGTGGGAATGCAAATTAGTATAGTCACTATGGAATCAGTATGGAGGCTCCTCAAAAAGCTAAAAATAGAACTACCACATGACCCAGATATACCACTCCTCGGTATACACCCAAAGGAAGTAAGGTTGGCATACTATAAGGATACCCGTGTGTCTGTGTTTATTGGCACAATAGCCAGGATATGGAATGATAGGTGACCATCAGGGATAATGAAATGTAGTGTGTGTGTGTGTGTGTGTGTGTGTGTGTGTGTGTGTGTTGGAATATTACTTAGCTATAAAGAAGAATAGAACTGTGTCATTTGCAAGAAAGTAGATGAAGCTGGTCATCATCACGTTAAGCAAAATAAGCCAGACTCCAGACACATACTGCTTATTTTTCATAATATGCGGTCTCTTAAAAAACAAAAGCTGGCATGAAAGTATAAGGGAGATTACTACTGGATAAGAGAAAAGCAATAAGGGAGAGGGGTGATGGTTGTAAAGGAGGATAGTAGGGGGAGACTATGATCAAAATATATACATGTATGAAAATACCACATTGAAGCCCAATATTTTGTAAAATTAATAGAAACTAATAACATACTTTAAAATGTTATTAATTATTTTCAAAATGTGCTCCCTATGATATTCCTGTATTAAGTCATCAGAGAGTTCCTCTTGCCTTTGAGAGAATATCCAAGAGCTTCAGTTCTCCCCGAATCACTTTGATTTCAGCCAGCAACGTGCATTTCTGGCATCTAACCTTCAGAATGATAAAATAATTTTCTGTTCTTTTTTCCACATTCAGCTGCAGTCCAACCTGCCTTCCCCAAGAAGTCTTCCCCAAATATCTTTGCCATTGGGACTCTCCCCTCCTCCCCACTCTTGAGCATTTGCCATCAGTATTGACAATCTGGAACATGGTATACTCTGTCTTAAAGCATTAGTCCTTTTGTGTGCAGGTATTCTGCCCCCTCCACTAGATTTGAAGCCTCTAAACAGAGGTTGTATATAACTTGTGTGCCCCTTTTCTCTCCTCAGCACCTGCTATGCCCCTCCAAGTATTTTATTTTTCTTCCCCATTTGATGGTTTCCCAGTGCAGGTCAAATTAAGTACAAACTCTTAATCGTGACAGTCTGGGCCTCCCACAATCAGAACCTAGATGTTGACTTCCTCTCTTACCTTATTACACTGTCATTTCCTCCAAATCTTCTTCCTGAACTCTCCACCTGGGTGTTCTGCTTATGTCACTGTCTTCAGCTATGTTTATGCTGACCTGCTGACCGCTACGGTGCCACTTGCCACAGACTGAACACCAGAAATGTAGCTAGTTCCAAAGGAGATGGTGCTGGGCATGTAAAATTACACTGAGTCTTGAAGGCTAGACTTGAAAAACAACAATGTAAAGTACCTCAATTACTCAACATATTGAAAGTATCTTTGAATATCTGTGATTAAATAAAATACATTGATTTCACTTATTTCTTTTTTCTATGTTAATATAGCTACTAGAAAATGTAAAGTATATTTGGCACACATTATATTTCTTTGGGCTATAGCTAATCTAGAAGATTCTCTCCTCGCTGCCTTTCCTAGACTCAACTTGATCTTCATCCTTCCAGATTTTATCCAGCCTCAAAGTCCCAATCGAAATACTGCTTGCAAAGATCCTTTTCTGATTCTTCATCCTCAGGACCGGGAATAAATTTTCCTCTCTGACTACTCCCCTCACGGACAACATTTTATTTCTGTCTTCTTGCGGCCCAAGCCATGTGCTGCTCTGAACCAACAGGTTCCAATGGGCTTTTCTCCACATGGTTTTCATCAACTAGCACAGCTCACTCTATATGGTAAAACTCTATTTGGCACTGTGGAGAGCTGAATACTGATGCCCCAAGAAGCCCTCATTGCAACCCCCAAAACCTGTGAATATACACGGAGTAATGAAAAACTACAATGAATATTTAAATTTATTACAGTAAAAGACACACTGCCAAAATTCTCCCTCTCACTTAGAACACACTTATCGTATTACTCTTGCCACTTTCTGAAGCAGTTCTGGAAGTTCTCTCACAAATGTCTTTATGAGGTGTGTTCAAAAATACAGTTAAATGCTCCTGCCAAGGTGCCACCCAACAGAAAGGCAGGTGTGTAAAAACATGATGCTGTTTCCATCTTATCCATCTGATGTGGCACCTTGAGATGGAACTGGTGCCTTATAAAAGATCTGGAGAGAATAGTGAGCCCTTTTGCACTTCCATCCTTTCTGCCACACGAGGACAGAATGTTACTTCCCTCCGTGATTAAGCAACAGGGTGCCATCGGGGAAGCAGAAGCAGAGGCCTCACCAGACATTGAAGCTCTCCATGCCTTGACAGTGGACTGCCAAGCTTTCAGAACTGTGAGAAGTAACTTCCTATCATTTATAAATTACTAAGTCTCAGGGGTCTTGTTATAGCAGCATAAATGGACTAAGACCAGTCTTTTTTAATGAGGGAAGAAAGCAGAAAAATCAGGAAACTTGTGATGACAGAAGTAGTTTACAATGATGCTATTGCTGGCTTTGAGTATAAACGGGCCACCAGCCAAAGAATGCAGATGGCTCTAGAAGCTGGAAAAGGCAAGAAATTGAGCCTCCTTTAACTCCCAGGAGGAAGCAGCCCTACTCACAACTTGACTTTACGTCAGTGAAACCCTTTTTTTGGCTTTCTGACCTCCAGAACTATATGATAACAGTTCAATGTTATTTTAGGCTGATTAAACACATCCTAATCAGTTGTAAGGAAGAAGAGCTACAACTTGACATTCATCAGCCAGTCCATCTGACACCTCTAGTGGGTAGTAACTATTCTTATTCCACAGGTGAGGAAATTGAGCCTTAGGAAAGGAACTCAAGGTCACACACACACACACACACACACACACACACACACACAGAGCTGGAAAGTGGTGGAGCCAAATATCAAACAACTCAGGACCAAAATATCAAACTCAAGATTCTAACTCACTTGTAAACTGCAAAACATACAGGTTCTGCTGCACCTCCCCAAACCAGAGCAATCAGCCAGCGTCCGGGAGCTCTCGTACAGGTCTCCCTTCAATGCTTGCACATTCTAAAGAAATCTTTTTTTAAAAAATCTCTTTGTAGGCCATGGGAATGAGGACAAGAAAGTATGGGAAGTGATTGCTTCCAGGTACAAGTTGACTCTTTTGCTATGTAAACATAAGGCAATAGATCCCAGTCTTGAGAAAACAGAATGTTCCCTCCATGTATCACTTACGATTGAGAGTTTAGCCCACAGCAAGATTTCCCTGCTGCCCTTCACTCATTTCTATACTACCTCTCATAGCACTCAGAATCTCTCCCTTGAAATAGTGTCGCTGTCACAGTTCTCTATTTTCTTAATGTGGCTATTTAATTAAAATCTCTTTCCTCCGCCTCCATGAAATTAGGGATTATGTCTATCTCAGTTTACATTCTATCCATAAAGGATCATTCTTGCTTCCTGTCTCTCCTAAACCTCACACACGGAAACTTAACAGAAAATCCAATCAGTTGTACCACCAATTTTGTACCCTGAGTCTTACCCTACCCCCTCACCACTGTCATCCATGTTTAACCCCTCATGGTCTCTTCTTTGTGTTATTGTTGAAGCATCCTGCTCATACTCTTGCCATCCAAAAGATTTCCCTGGCATCTACACCAGATTACACCTGAGACAAAACCCAAGCCCTTTAATCTGTTTCCAAAGTCCTACAAAATCTGACTCCTATTTCCTTTCCAACTTCATATTGTGCTGACCACATTTCAAAGCCTTCATTTTTTCACCCATATAATAGGTCAAGTTCACTATCAAATATTTCTTTATAGAGTTTCTGCTTAGCACATCCTCCTGCGGGATATTTTCCTTACTTGTTTCTGGTTGATTGTCTTCTCCCTGCATTTACATTAGCTTTATTAGAACAGTGACATTGTATCTCTGTCTCCACTGTATCCCAGAGGTGAAGAGAAAGTACTCATCAAATGTGCATGGGATAAATATATGAATGAGTGACTTCCAGGGCCCGGCACCTTGTATGCTAGTTTTCAGCAAATATTTGTTGAATGAATGAATGTACAGAAATTTGGTTTAAAATGATTAAAAGTTTATGCATCTTCTATTCTGTTTAGTATCAGAGTTAATTATTTAAATTTTTAAAATTCTAAACTCAAAGCATTAACTTGATATAGTCAAACAAAAATCTAGCAAAACTTACAACAAATCTGAGACCCAAGAGTACTCAGTACAACTCCACTTTGAGCAATAAAATGAAAGCATATTGGCTCTGGCTCCCAACTTTATGTACTTTCTGAGGTCTGCCTTGAAATTACAAGCCTAAACAAACTTAAAAATGCCTCCTAATATAAAAACTACCCAAATTTCCTGGGTCGTTCCTGCTAGGATAAGAATAGGATTATTTAATAAAAGTCACAAAATCATAAATATTTAAGAGACTTTGCCCCCTAGTTTTATTGAGAGGACTACTTGACAAAATTTCCCACCTTACCTTCAACTTTGTACAGCGGTTCCTTTGCAGGTGTCTCCCACACAGTACATAAGCCGACCTATGTTGTAGTCGCACAGAACCATCATTTCCCTGCTATTTCACTTTGAGTCACTCTAGTAGTCTATATTAACTGCTGCTAACAAGAAAACACCAAAGTCACTGCTTGTGAAGGCCCATGGGGCAGCCACCCTCTCCAGGAGGCCACATTCCATGATACAGCAGCCATGGATTTCCTCTGCCAACTACAAAGCTCATTTCCCATCTCTGCTGAAACTGTGGCACCAATCTGCTAAGGACTTCATTGCAGCCTCAATAAATCTCCCAGATATCTGAGACCTTCCTAGGCCAGATTAAAGTTTTATTGTGTACAACACATGATCACAACACCATCCTTTATGGCCCATTATTCTTGAACCAAACTTACAACTTCAGTTTTGTCTTATAAAAACCTATCTCCTGAGGTACTGAACAGCCAAGCATATGAATAAATCATTAATACACTTATGATCCTTGGAGCATCCTAAGATGAATGATACAGTGACCTTATAAATGGAACAAACAAACTGCATGAAAACCAAGTAAGTTGAGTTTTTAGTTGCCATCCATAGGAAGCAATGCTGGGGACCATCTAAAGCAATAGATCATAAAAAGTTGCAGCCCCTGCTGCTGGGAGAAAGAAGCCATCATCTTATAGGAAGTTGAGTTCCGGTACTTTCTCCATTTACTCATAGTTTCATCTGTCTGTCCAGCACATACATCTTGCTCCCACTTGTGGTTACTGGCCACTTTGAGTATTAGAAAGAACAAAAAAGAAAGACAGAAAAGAAGAAAAGAAGAAAAAGAAAGAAAGAAAGAAAGAAAGA